AGCCTATAAAACAATTTATTTTTTCCAGTGTTCATTGGTAATCAGCTCCCAGCAAGAATTGTCCTAATAATCACTCTGTCTATTAGTCTGTGTTCACACATACACATCTTGTTTGTGATTTTATATCAGTAGGCAGGTCACACACGCATTCTTATTAGGTAGGAGAGACTGAAAAGAATTTCTTCCCAACTTTTGCCATGGCAACAATAGAAAAACCTTTTTTTCTTCCTTTATGCCAAATTTTTCTCCTCTTACAAATCGTGGAGTTAAAATAAATAACTTTCTAAAAACATATTAGATTCTACTTGCTTGAGTGCATTCCTAAATTTGTATTTGTTTTTTTGACATTTTTCTCTTTTCAGAAAATGTGAAACTGTGTTTTAACTTTTCTGGGTTTCTTTTGCTGTCCAATTTTGTTTAATTTATCTCGGTTAAGAAAACATACGCTTGAGTATGTCCCACAAAACACTTGAAGGTTTCCCAGAATAGATAGGAAGCAGATCTATTGTCTATGGATCTTTATTCAGAGGTGAAATATACACATCGCAATACACTGCTCTCTAAAGGTGCCACGCACGACCGACAAGCGACCAACTAGAAATTAGAAACAATGCAACAACGCTCTGGCGCCAACACGGACGCATGAGATATAAATGTATTTGTAGCGAATAATCACGTAACACGCAATAAATGTAAACAATTGAATGGAAATAAATGATCATTCGAACCCATCCCCGACAAATTATGATAAACCGCCTGTTTTTTTTTATTTTGGCATGGTCACAGTTTACCTTTAAGCCACACATCGTTGTCTGATTTGTAATGTGACCTATATTACAGTCACTCTATCATAGAGGGCGATGGAGGGACTGTGTTTTTTTTCAAATAATTTTGTAGGTCAGTGAACTAATAAAAATCTATTAGTTTTATGTGTGGTTTGAATTTGAACTGTTTTATATATGCGTTTTAAAACATTCTAATACCTAGTGTCTCATTTATGTTTTTGACAGCATGGTTTGAAGTTTTCCTGGTCTACATGTCCATGCTTAGTGTTGTTAAAACAAGCAGGTTTTGTAGATTTCGTGTTGAAACACTAAACATGCTAGCAATGGCTGTAGTAATGTTTTCATATAACAACCTGGGTCATCGCGATAACAATTATATATTATTTCATTGAACCCTCTGACTATTTTCCCTCAGAAAATCAAACCCTTTGACCAGCGCACTTATGATTACGTGACCACGATTATATACAGTTTGTTGCTAGGCGTTGTTGCTTGTTTACTACATAGTTTGGCAAATTGAGTTGGTATCAGGCGGATTTGTTTCGGGCGAGTTAGATTTGGTGCGGGCTAATAGTAAACGTACTTGTTAAATGTATAGAAAAAACAGAACGAAAGGAATGGTACACGTCTCATGATTGGCAAGACGCTGTATTTTTCGATACCTTCGATCCCCTTGCGTTCACATTCTTTGTCTTGATTGGCTGAACGAAAGCGACGAAAAATATTAATTTTTCTGGTTGGCTGCATGAAATCCTTAAAAATTATATGTTCACTATGTCATTAGGCCTCAATCTGATTAAAATGAGATCCTAGGCTTTTTTCATTATTTTTAATTGCCGGGAATTGCTCGACAATAATCATGGCTATTTACTTAAATGTTCATATGTATTGTAATTACTACATTCTGTGGAAATAGCGAAAATAAAATCCGTGTGTTAATTTATAGCCTGTACCATTTAATAAACATACATGTTTACTGGGAATTCGAGGACGTGCACTGAATAAAATGATGCTAACGTTGTACCATAGAGGTAATAAGATTCCTATCTCCATGGTTGTACCCACGGCAGGTCATTTCAAGTGGAATTCGCTAGCTGTTCAAAACACTATGAACACTATTCACAAGGGGTAATGATGTGACAAATATATAATTGGAGCAAGGCGCCGCATTTTGTGGGAACGACAATCGTATGCAAGTTCCATGCAGCCAATCAGAAAAATG